AATGGCCTGAATATCCACGATGGGCTTGAGAATTCAGAAACTCCTCAGTTTCCTGTGGTGGAACACGGAAGGCCAACCCAGGGCTCACAGCTTGGCACCTGTCTTCCCAGTCTTATTTCGGTCCTGCATCAAAGGGACTTGAAACCCAAGTGGACATTCTAACCCTCAAGCCATGTCCGGGATCCATGCACATCTCTGCTCACCCCCATGGCAGCAGTTGAAATGTTCAGAAAATTTCCATCGGGTTCTTGTGAGCACACTTCTGGGTAGTGTGCCTAGGACAGGCCGCTGTACTTGGGTTCTTCCTCCCTCTTCCTCATTCTTCTCCTTGTTGTTTTTGTTAGTACCACCATGATTAGCAACAGGAAATATATTTACTCTCTAAGAAGGCTTACATTTATCAGATGATATCACAATTTATTTACATGTCTGTCAAATCTGTGAATTTCTTACCAAAAGGGTCAGTGTGTGTACTGTTTGAATTTTACAGCAACAATTACTTTATCTTTGACAAATGGCCAGGGACTACTGACTGAGAATACACAATGAATGAATGAATGCGGTTTCACTATGTTACTCTGTATGTGATAAACTGAAAATATACCGAGATGTTAAGCGATTCTATCTGAGAGACCTCACCGATACCTGGATAAATAGCTTAGAATAAAAATTTCAGAAATGTGTTAACTAACACCGAAAATGGCCAGCTATGTTCATGTTTAAGATTGACTAGGGACATTTTGTTTCTGCTCCAGTGCTAGGAAGAGCACAGCGTTGCCGTGAGGGCCTGTTTCTATCCGCACTGGTTCCCTCAGCGCTGTGTATACAGCTTTGTGAAGCAGTGACCAGAGCTTGCGGTCAGACTTTGCCAAGTGTTTGGGTCAAAGACGCCACCCTTACGTGGCTGTGACGATTCTCCGCATTACTCCACGGGCTTTTAAGGGAAGATGATCTCATCGTATGGGTTAGTCACGTTGAAATCTCTCTGTTCCCATTGGTCATTTTACCACTGGTCTCTTAGAAAACTCAGAGTGATAGGAAACCTCTTCTCCTCTCACATTTCCAACATTACTTTCTTTACGCACGTGCACTGAAACCATCTGTCAAAATTGTGGCAAAATTTGCCAGCTCCAGATGGGCCTCATTAGTCACTTGAGAACACAGAAACAGAGGAATTATGGAAAAATCAATAAATCTGGGATAGGTCATCCTGGTCTGGGAAGATTTTTCTCATCAGCAGCATTGTTCCCAGACATGAAAAGGTACAGGTTTCCATCTTTACTCCAGAAAGAGGATAAGAATTCCCAGTGACCCAATTCATCCTTTCTCATGGGCTCAGGTGCCTCAGCTGTGAACCGAAGGAAAATCTAGCATGGTCCTTCCAGGCTGAAATTCTATAAATGAGCCAATAAAGGAGCATGTGTACCAAAGGCAAGGTGAGAGAGAAGGGGTAAGTGAGAGTGAAAGAACATGGATTTTGGACACCAGTATCAAATGTAGTCTTTACAAGGCAGCCATGAGCTAACCTCCCCCGAGGATCACATACTCTCCTAGCACTGTCTCTCCCCTGTGAAGAGAAGTAGTCATGCGTTGACTTATAGGAAATCTATCCACTGTGCAAGTGAGTCCCTGCCACAGGAGGAAGTCCCTCCCTCTTCTAAACACCCAGGTTGAACCCAGAGCCTTTGCACTGGACTGCACCACCAACCCTTTATTTTTTATTTTGAGACAGGCTCTGGCTAACTCACTGAGTTACACAGGCTGGACTCTAACTTGTGGTCCTCCTGCCTCAGCTAAGAGACTCATAGATACCATCAGAGAAGATGTGTTAGTAAGTAGAAGGAAGACTGATAATGTGGTAAAGAAACAAAAATAAGGAAATTTTTCTCTGCAACTCCCCAAAGAAACAACAAAAACAATGTCTACCTGCAGCTTTTGCCATGTTAATTCTTTGAGTTCTCAAAGGCTGTTGAGTCAGGATGTGTTAGATGGTTGTGTGTTTGAGTCTTAGTGACTTAATGCAATACAAACTTATTTCTCCTTTGTCTCAAAGGCTAATAAAAATCAGATAGCTTTATTTTTTAAAAATCTCAGGTACCCATGTTCTTTCTGTAATGGTGTAACCTGGGTCCATGTCTCACGAAATCAAAAAATGAAGTCCCAGACAAAAGAGGTAGACAGGAGGATGCTTTTTTTTTTTTGGTACCGGGGATCGAACTTGGGACCTTGTGCTTGCGAGAGGAGGATGCTTTTTGAGAAGAGAGAAATAGCTCCCAGAAGTCTGGGAGGGAACCCAAAAGTGGGTTGTCACAGGGACTCTTTGTTTAGGAGTTTTTATACCAAAAAATGACAAGAGCTCAGATTACTCCAAGTCAAACTAAGGTCAACCTATGGGACTAAAATGTTTACTTAAACTAGAAAAGGGTTTATGAGGAGTTGAGACACATACCAAGTGTGTGTCTGCAGGAGCCTCTTGGCCTCTCTCCTATCCAAGGGGTTCATTAAAAGAATGAAGTGAGAAGGAAGAAAGTATTTTCCAGATAAGTAGGAGCAGAAGTTGTCATAGTTGTGATCATCACCCGGCTTGTTACAGCCCTGGACTTAGTTGCCCATCTGGTTCTTATTAACGCTTGACCTCAGATTCCTGCTCATCTGACCAAGGCCTGGTCATCCTGACTCTACCTTGGCCCAGCCTCTCCCTAGCTGCCTGCTATCTCTGGCATAACTGGCCTGTCTATAATACTGCTGTCCTGTGACACTGCCATCCACACCTTGTGCAGTCTCTGTTGCTGAGCAGGGGACAAGGAAGACAGATGAGCTTAATGCACACCTGAAAGTGCCATGAAGCAGAAGGAGACTGGGAAATGGAGTTCTGTTTCATGTCTAGGAAATTGAAGTGGACGAAGTCAGAAACCAGCTGCCCCCTGCTACAAAGACAGTGGGTGTATGGTAGACTGAAACATGACCACAGCCTCTTCTGGCTCTTTGCATTAAGACACAAAGCTGTAACTTCACTCCTGCAGGCCTGGGCTAGCATTAGTGACTTACTTTGCCATCAGGATGTGGTTGAAATGACATTTGCTAGTTTCCAAACCTAGTTTTAGGAGACCTAGCAGCTTCTGCCTTTGTCCTTTTGCAATGTTGGCCTGGGACTGCCCTGGGGAGAAGACACTCTAGTCTCCTACATGACCATGCACAGTCAGTAAACACAGTTGTGATATAGCATAAGTTGTTATTTTAAACCAATGACTCTGGAGTAGTTTCTTGTGAAACAGTGGACCACAGGTACACGTTTAACACTTTAAGACTAAAATAGGAGAGTCAGCCTTTGTAAACCTAGAGACTGACAGAGGGACAAGTTTGTTGAGTCTCTCTGAACGCTACTGGTCAGCTAGGCGAGGCTTAGGAGGAAGCTGGTCTTAGCTGGGATCCAGAGAGGGGCTGGGGGCTGGTGGTGCTGTGGTGAGGTATGAGTGAGGTAAGTAGATAATACCAAAGAGCATTTCTACCTAACTCACAAATTGCTCCTGACTTCTGATTTGCAAATATGAGCTATAAAAATTGAAATGGTGAAGATTGTATTTCTTGGTCTGGGAAGATATTTTGGTTAAGTGCACTCTGGAAACTTTTACATTTTTGCCATAATGGAATATATTCCTTCTTAAGCATAACATTTAAAAATATGTTAATTATTTTTCACTACATTAAAATATATTTTTTTAATTTTTAAAGTTTTAATTGATATCTAATGAGTGTCCATATCTACTGGGTCCAGTGTGATACTGCAATGCATGTTTACACGTGCAGTGATCAGATCAGAGCAACTGGTACACCATCATGCCACCCTTTATCCCAGCTCTGTCTTGACTACATTCAGAAGTGGTGGCATACACTGCTCCCATGGTTTGGTTAGAGCCAATCCCGCGATAATGAATGAGTTCTGAGAAATTTCAGCACAGCAGAGGGAGGACCTAGCAAGAAGCAGGCCTACCCCAAAGGGCCAGACTTCTAGGAAGGCCTCTTCCCCTTCCCTCGGCCTCGGGCCACTCAGCCCCTGGGAGGCAGGGACGGATTTCAGAACCCAGGGCCGGAGCGGGAAGCTCACCAGCTCCCCCTGTCTGCCACCTGCAGCTTGGTAAAGAAAGCTTCGTTAGGATTCCTGTGGTTTAGTTTTTCATGCATGATGCTCCCTTCTTTCCCATGTTGTGGTTGGCCTTGTATTTTTTCTTTTTTTGCTTCTTTTGTTTCAAGCTTGAGAATTTTAAGGACACTTTAACTATATTCTTTTGTCCTTTGAGCTATGAAAACTAAGAAAATGAACAATACAGTGACAAACAACAAAATGAGTGCTTAATATTTATACTGTGATAAAAAGAAATATGATTAAGGTCATGGATAAATATTTAGAGTCATTCATCAACTATTGAAAAAGTCACACTGGGCTTACTCCAGCCTGTGGGGAAATACCAAACAGTAAGCTCCAGCAAGGTCAATGAAAAGGTCATAATATATCTTTTTGAATCTCCAGCACCTAAGCAGTCTAGCTGCCAGGGCATTTTCTGTGCACTTCGTGTCTCATGGTTTCTACCTCCCTCTTCGCTGAGCAGCATCCGAGCACAGCTCCTCTGTGTGGCATTCTCTGCAGGGCACTTCCTTGGTTGGATGATGTGCACTTTGCAATTTCCCTCCGGGCCCTGCCTCTTTATCTTGCATTATCCTCCCCCTTCCCCTAAGCACTGGCGTCTATAGTCTTCCAGGTTATATTAAATAATCAGCACCTGCTGGAACCAGACTGGATTACGTGTTGTCTAGATGGCCCCGGTTGCCTGGGGCTTCCTGGTACTTGTGGCTGTGTTGCCCATTAATCCATGATGTACACGCATGGAGGTCAACAGAGAAGAAAGAGGTCAGGACCCCATACTTGAGTCCAGAGTGGGGGAAAGGTGAAGTCCACACCTGTGAGTCACCTCGAATGTCCCCAGGTCACTGCGGGTTCTGAATGCAGTGCAGTATTGCAGTACAGATAAGCCCAGGGACTGATGAGAATCGACCTCCTCCAAGCCAGCGGTCAGCATGCAGCTGCTCTCTCCCCTCCACCTCCTCTCCATGCACTGCCTCAATTCCTGGACATTTAACGGAGGACCAGGGTGAAGGACGAAGAGAAAAGACAGTGAGTGATTTTTGAACTGATACTGTCAGAGGATGGTTTTGCCCTCTGTGCCTTGCGGACGTGTGCAGCTCTGTGTGTGAGTGAGTGTGTGTGTGTCTACACCTCTGCTTCTGGGGGCTCCTACAGGCAATGATCTTATGCACGAGCTCTTGGCTGTCTTCTAACTCCTCAGCTGGCTGCTCTGCTGAAGTCAGCTGAAATTTTTCCCATAAGCCCAGTTGTCATTCATCATTTGCTTGGTGCTTCAGGTGCAACAACTTGAATCTTTCTAAGCCTGGGAAGAAGTGAATTTGTGGAGATTCCTTTTGGTTACTTACCATGGAGGCAGTGGAATGAGATGAAAATCAGCTAAGTCATATTAAGAAAAGAAACTTATAGTCAGTCTTACGTGTGTGTGCACGCAAGTGCGTGTGTTAAAGATAAATGAGAGAGAATAATAAAATTGAGGATAATCTGTAAACCTCACTTTAGATTATATTTCATTGCCATGGATTAAGGATTACAAGTTACATGTGGGCTGGATTTCTCGAAACTTGGTAAAATGAAGGTCAGTTGTTTAAATTCAAATACAAGAGCAGAGAAAATCACTAGGAATAAAATAGGGATTTTTAAAAAACAAACAGGACTGGCATCAAAAATAATCCTGAGCAATAGAAAAAATATTGTAACAGTATAAACAAAGTATGATTTATAATAGTGAGAGCAGGAAATTAAACTTAACAGTCCACAGCCAGATTGCTACTTAACGGTTCCGAGGAGGTCCCCGAAGAGGACGTGGACTGTCTTCTTGATGGGTGGCATGGCTTTGAGGACAGGGTCACATCCTCCTGCATCATGGACCGTCCTCTGCCAGTGTAGGCGGCCTCCTAGGGTGGGGAGAGAGCACTGTGAGGCTGGTAAGCTCGCCACTCGACAGATCGGAGCCACATCCTGCTTTTCAGCCGCTCACTGTCCTGGCCAGTTGGCTGAATAGAAGAATTTCTTAGGCATCATGAAACAGCTCTAGTCAAATGCGTTCTTGATCAGCATGGGAAATATCTCCTCACACTCCTCTCAAGGAGCTGAGTTTGCTGGACGACCATGGCCTTTCATCCCAGAGTCACACACTCTTTTTCAGCCTCTCTTTATAATGGACCATTTACTGCCAACCCCATGCAGTGTCTCCAGAGTGGGGAGTGGAATTTGTGAGATACAGATGGCCACCGCGTAGGACATGTGCCTGTGTGCTCCATTCAGCACACTACGTTTTCTGTAGGTCAGTGGCTCGGTTGGTGATGTCCTATTCTCCCTTTCAGCCGATCTTTATAGCAGCCCGTTGTCTGATAACTAAGAGAAGTACTCGGAAATTGCTGGAGAGCGTTTGTGAAATGCGCACCATCTCAGCCAGGAAGAGGTTAACCTTGCCAGGTGTCACTGCTATTGATACCTTGTCCTGTAATTGGCTGACAATTAAAACCATGGCTTAGAAATTGATAAAGCTATGTGTGAGATGCACGCTGTCTCAGCATGCGAAACCTCGTCTCCATTCAAGGTCTTCATTTAGCTGAGGATTAAGAGAATCACTTAGAAATTGGTAAAGTGAATTTGTAAAATGCACACTGTCTAAGTTCGGGAAATGGCTCTGTACACTGCAAGTAAGTTTGCCAAGAGGTCAATGGTACTGTTGTTTCATTCACACTTTCCTTTTCAGCCTCTCTCTCTGCATAGCGACACATTGCCTACCGCTATGAGAGAGGTGTTTGGGGATGGAGAAGGAGCAGGTGTGAGGTGCAGCCCACCACAGCCAGCGACTGACTGCACGCTGTTCAGCATTCAGTTTGCCACAGTTCAACAGCTGGTTACTGAAGCCACATTTTGCTTCTTAGCTTATCCGTAGGGTGGCCTAGCACCCCCAGCATGAGGTGGCCTCGGAATGGAGAAGGAGCACTTGTGACATGCAAACGGAAAACACGGCTGTGTGTCCTCATGAACTCTGGCACCATGTGGCTTCTGGCTCCTCCCCAAGTCCAAATGGCCAGGAAAGGTAAATGTTTTTGATCGATTCAGGACACTGTGGCAGCCACTACAGCAGAAGGAAAGACGTGGGCCGTAGTTTCCCAGCCTCCCTGCTCCTGTTCCTCACACGGAGTCTTCTCAGTCCTGCTGGGGACCTGAGGCTGACAGCTGGTGTCAGCCTGGAAGGGGAGTGAGGCGGGGTGGGGTGGAAGGAAACCTGCAGCCACGCTGGGACCCACTCTTCAGTCTCCTGGTCTTGCCCTTCAGGGCGCTCCACGGGCATCGATTCCAGTTTCTTTCACAACCCTAAAGTGTGTGCTTATGAAAAATCACGTGGCAAACTTGATGGGTAAACTGGTCAATGACCCAGCCTGAGTTTGATACAAAGTCCAGTGCAACCCAGCCAACCACCAAGGCCTGGTGTCTGGGGAAGATGCGTTGCAGGCTTTTAAATAAATAGAGAAATAGGATCTACAAAAGAATCCAACTCTATCCTCTCCCTTCAATCTTCTCTGTGCTGAAAAATAAGAAAGAAAAACAAACAAGTTTGTTCCTAATACTTAAAGCCTTCCTGTAAAACAAACTGCTGGTGACAGTGCTGGTGCCTGTGTCCTCTGACTCAGCCGGGGCTTTCATACGTCTGGCTCCTGCAGACTCCTTTGTGTCTTCTGAACTGAATGCAAGGATGTTGGATCCTGGAGGCAGCTGTCTCTCTTCCAAGTTAAAGAATCTCCTTCCCTGGGGTCTTGCCTGCTCCAGCTCCCCACTTTTCCCTGTTAGAATCGGCTACTCTTGCTGTAGGACACGGTCCCCGAGCTCAGTGACTTAGTGGAGAAGGACCTCTCTCGCTACTCCCCCACCCAACTGCCTGGAAATCCCAGGAAGCAAAGCCCTCTCTTCAATCACAGAAAGACTACTTAGTGCTGCCTTTGAGCCTTCATTTTAATTTTCACTTAAATGCATTAAAACTCCACGATCTGTGGTCTGGCTTTTCTTTTAAGTATTCGAGGCTATTTGAGATTTAAAGAATAATCTGTCTCCTGTTCTTCTTTTCCCATTAGGATTGGTCAGACAAATCTTTTCTTTGTAAGATTTGTCTTTGCAACTTGGAGCATTCTTCTCCTAAAATGTTTTTGGAAAACATACGAAGCTGGATATGCATGCTGTCTTAGTTACTTTTCTTTCATTGCTGAGACAAAATACCTGACACCCACAGTTAAAGGGGAAAGGATTTATTTAGCTCCCAGTTTGTAGAGGTTTCAATCCATGATCAGCTGGCTCCAAGGCAGGGCGGCACATGGCAGAGGGGCAGCACAGAGGAGAAACGGTTCATGGCACCCACCTGGTAGCAAAGCAACAAGGAATCTTAACAGCGTCTTTCTGTCCCTTTTATCCAGACTACGGGGAGTAGGGCAGTCCCAGGCCAAGCAGTGGACTGGTTTAGTAATCACCCACCCTTAATCCCAGCATCACACACTCTAGATCCAGCCACCTCTGACTGCATGAGCCTTTAGGGAACATCTAGACCCACACCACAATCAGGCATATTACGTCCAGAAAGTGAGTGCAGGGCCGTTTACAGAATCACGCTTTCCTTTCCTTTCTTTCTTTTTTCTCTTTCTCTCTTTATTTCTTTTTTCTTCTCTCTTTCCTTCCTTCCTCCTTTCCTTTCTTTCTTTCTTTCTTTTTGTCATGATTGAACCAAGGGTCTCACACGTACTAGGCAAGCATCCTACCACTGAGCTACGTTCTCAGCCCTTGTGGTTTCTTATAGTGCTTAAACTACAGAAAGCTCTTATTTCTGTTAATGGCAGTGATTGCTCACTGTTTCTTTTGGTTAAGTGAAAGTTACTGAAATGGCATCAGTGATGACCAATATCCAAATAAGCATGCAGCAAAGTGCACTTACCCCAAGAACCATGGGAAGCATTCTTGAATCTTCTAAGGAATCAGAAAATCTTCTTAGTCTTGAGTTTGTTACTTGGGGTATCAGTAGGCTAATTTTCCATACTGGAATGAACATGTCAGTCATTTGAGCTTCCTGGAATTTGACTTTGAGGACAGTTGAGACTTTAAAACAAATCCATAAGCGTGTTGATGTATAAATGTCCCATTTTGAGCAGATTAAATGTTAACAGAAAAGAAATGATTTGGCTTTGAAATAGATAAGCAGATACAGATGCTTAGATGCAGTTGTTTAATTCCTTGCCAGGACAGAGCAGAAGGAGCAGTAAGGAAATGCACCCACTTAACCATCTGGACTCCAGCTTCTAGATTTTTTTTAAGAAATTTTAAACCTGAAAGCCATGAGCTCAGCTTGCAGTCAGTCTGGTTGCTCATTCATTTATTCTGTTTTCAAATGGTATTTAATGCTTGCATTGTGTGAAGTATGCTAGGGGTCTTCAGCTGACAGATCCCTGCATGGTGCACTAGCTGGTGTCCTTGCTCACTTGCTTGGTATCCGTTCTGCATAGCTGGGCTCATGCCACCCAAGTTGTTAAATATTTTGAATAATATTTCAATATTTTGAATAACATCTCTACCTTATGAAATTCTAGTGGAATAATTGTTTACAAAATGAACCAAATTTTGTCTGTTTCTCTTCTCTTCTTTCAAGAATCTCAACCCTCCTGCTACTTCTGCAATCAATTTATAAAGCAATTGGATGGTATTAGTCTGAGTCTTGGCTGTCACCTGGTCTTGGAGGCACGCACTGTCCTGGAGGTCTGTGGCCCTCAGCCTTCCCTGCTGGTTTCTCCATGGCACCCCTGTTGCCCATTTGCCCCGAGGCTGTCTGTCTTTCCACGCCCCGTGTCCTCCTTGGCATTAGTCTGCACAGGCTGCACTATGCTTTTATTTTTTACTTTTTTTTTCTGGCACCGGGGATCAAACTCAGGTCCTTGCCCTTGCGCAGCAGACAGCGAAACCACTGAGCTAAATCCCTGGCCCAAGGCTACACTATGCTGCAGTGACAAACAACTGCACACATCTCAGTGGCTTTGCCACAGTACTTATTTCTGGCTCGTGTAGTGTGAGGGTCATTAGAGGGCTCTGTTCCATGTAATCCCTTGGGAGCTCAGGCTAATGGACATGTCATCGTGTTACAGCCGTACTACCCAGGTCCATGTGCTTCTCAGCAGCCACACGTGACAAGTACATGGAGATCTGTACTTGGGCTCAGGGACACAACACTCACCATTTTTGCCAACATTTCATGGCCAGAACTAATCAAGTGGCCTTGCCTATCTGCAAGGTGCTGGGCCCTGGAACCCAGAGTCTCTGGCTCAATCAATCGCTTTGGGGCTCAGGGCAATTATCACACCACGGCGGGCAGCCTCTGGTTTCCTCAGAGATCACCGGAGGGAGCCAGTGATGCCACCAGGAGCGGAGCAGGGCCAACTCCTCCTGGGGCACAGCTTGGGGAACAAGGCAGCTCTTCACGCCTCTCATGGGTGGGCTCCCCAAGTCAGGAGTTTCTCTGTGGCTCTTTGGTGCTGTCTCCCATGCCCAGATGACTGCTGTATCTGGGAAGCAATGCCCCACTCCACAGCACATCGCCCTCATTGGCACCTCATTCTCCTCTGTCCTACCTTCCTCTCCCTTATTTTCCCAGCCCTGGGGTTCTTCTCCCAAGGAAGCAGGGACCTTAAGCCTCACCACTTTCCAGGAAACCCGGGCTAAGGTTTGAAAGTGTCCCATGTGCCGGGAAGTGTGAGAGGTCATTTTACATACGTGAACCTATTTCCCCTCTTCCACACCTGGGCCCCAGAGGTCATGGTGTGACAAGGTCACACATGAGCAAGGAGTGGAAGCCATCTTCACGAATGGCAGAAATACCTGCTGTGGATGCTCCAGGTATCGGGGAACTCACACCTTGCTGATAATGTTGCAGAATGTATGATCTGCTGGACAAAGACATAGAACAAACAAATGTCGAAACACGATAATTCCATAACGTAACCGATTCTGCGCACAGAAGTAGGGCAGTGGTGGAATAGGCAGGGGGACAGCAAGTGAAAACATCTGCAGCAGAAACAAGTTTGGTGAGTTTGAGAAAAGAGGCCCCTGATTTTGGTGATTTTCTGTCATCTGTACTCTGCTTGCACGAGGGTTTGGCTTGGCACTTTCCAAGCACAGTGTAATGCCAGCGATACTTGTGTTACTTATCTATTGCTACCCAGCAAGTTGCCCCAAGCCTGAGTGGCTTGTTTTCATGGATAATGTGGGTGAGGAATTCAGGAGCAGCCTAGCTGGGTAGGTCTTGCTTAGGTCTTCCCAGGAGGTCACGGTCACGATAGAGGCCAGGGCTGTTGTCATCTGGAGCTTAATGGGGGCTGGGGACCTAGTTCCAAGGTGACACACTTAGGTCACTGGTGAGTCCGTGTGAATTGTTGGTGTGCAGCCGCAGTCCCTGCCTAAATGGGCCCCCACAGAGGCCTGGGGTGTCCTCCAGATGGAGCAACATGTGTCGCTGGTGGCTTAACTTTGGAAGTCGCACACCATCCCTTCTGTGTTATTCTGTTGGTCAGTGTAGGAGGTAACTACTCAAGATCTAGGCTTCCGATGGTAAGGACTGGGGCCATACTGAAGACTGCTTACCACTGTGCCCGCACAAGGTAGCCAACACCCAGCTCTACCTGTTCTCTGCTCTCTTTGTTTCGCTTTTATGCACAAACACATGATCCCTACATGGAGACAAGGTGCCCCGAAGCTCCATGCCTCGTTTCTCAAGTCCAGAATAAAGAAGCTTTTTTTCCCAGTATTGTCAACAAAATTCCTGGAATTGAGTCTCATTGGCTCTGGCTGGTCTGGCTTGAACCATTTCTCAGCACATGGCTATGACTGGAATGAGGGACCATCAATGGGCCAAACCTGAATCGTGGGCTTCCATATGGGAAGCATGGGTCAAAACTCACCAGGGTCACTTGGACTGAAAGTCAGGGAGAAGCCGTGCCCTAAAGGGGCTTCATTCTACAAGCAGAATGCGTACAGGGTGGGAAGGAACAGAAAGTGCACTATATCCTGTAACTAGGATCTCTACTTCCTCTATTCACACCCGTGAAACCAGTCAAGACAATAAAAATATCTGTTAACCTCCGAAGGTTCTTTGTGATCCTTTGTAATCCCTCCCTCCTGCCCCACCCTGAGTCCTATCTTGGCCTCCTGCAACTACTGGTCTGCTTTCTGTCATTGTGGATTAGTTCCCGTTGTCTATAATTGCATATAAATGAAAGCATACACAATGTACTCCTTTTTCTTTGGCATGTTTCGCTAAGCATAATTATTTTTAGATTGATCCATGCTGTGTTGAATATCAACAGTTCATTTCTTTTCATGGATATACCACATTTGTTAATGCATTCACCTGTGGCTGGACAGATCTTTCACATGTTTTTGTTATTTTAACCCTAAAATATTTCATGGGGCTTTTTGGGGGGTTTTTTTGGTACCAGGTATTGAACTCGGGTCCTTGCGCTTGCGCAGTAGGCGGTGGAACCACTGAGCTAGATCCCCGGCCCTATATTTCACGTTTTTGATCCCATTATGAATAGTGTTTTTATTTTGATTTCTGATATTCATTGCTATTATAAAAATGTAACTGATTTTTGTATATAGATCTTGTATCCTTCAACGTTGTCAAACATATATTTGTTTAGCAACATTGTCTAGGTTCCCTTGGTATTCTACACAGATAGTCCATATTATCTATGACTAGGGATAATTTTGTTTCTTCCTTTCCAATCTGGATTCCTTGTATTTCCTTTTCTTGTTGTATTGCATTGGCTAGAACCCTACTACAACAGTGATTGCAAGTGATGAGAGAGGATGTCCTTTCCTTCCTTTTGGGAGAAAGTCTACAATCTTTGAAAGTATGAAAAGAAAGAAAAATTATTCAAATTATAAGTATAATGTTAGCTGTAGGTTTGTAGTTTCTTTTCTTATTTCTTTGTCTGATTTTAGAATCAGGGTAATGCTGGCTTCATGAACTGGGAAGTATTCCTGCATCTGATTTCTTGATTTAGTGTAGATTT